CAGGGATAAATAGAGATAGTAAATCCCCAACATATTTAAACATGTCATTCAGGAAACAACAACTACAGTAAGGTGTCAATAAAAATGAGAAATGTGAGATTAAATATGGTGGAAGGGTTATCTTTTTGATAATACATTTATAAGAGATATTGAAATTCCTCATCACCTTCTTGATGTCCTTCCTGTAGCTTGTCAATTTTGCTGTATGTTCTCAAGGACATCTGCCATGTTGAAAGTAAAGGGTGTTTTCATCTATAAAAATGACATAGGAAGTCATTATGTACAAGGAAGAAAAGAAAATCCTGACAAAGACTGGAGGGCTAAACAAATTAGCCCACACATTCTGTCAATAATGTGTAAATGGAACTGTGATTACACCTGGGTCCTTTATCTAGCTTTGATATAATTTTGGGTCATTTTGTAAATGGGGGTGTATATTTCCTTTAATATTTGTAATTCTACGTTTTTTCAGTAAATCATGATTACTTTATTTTCATGAAAAAATATTTTGAGTAAAATCTCTCTTGGAAGATCATTCTTAGGAGTTTTGTTCTATTTGATTATGGATACCATAGATAATCTCATGAAACCCATATGTTTTATTTTCATTTTTGCATGCAAATTAAGAAGAACAAATAATTTTAACTTTGAGTTGAAAAATGTGAGCTAGCTAATGTTTGTTCCCCCATGATCTATCTCTATCCAAGTTACAAATTACTGTTGTATGAAATAGACATTATTCTTTTTGGAATATATATATATTTGGAATATATATATATATCCAGAATAAAACTGGCAACAGTAGAAGAATAGGAAAAAATTAAACAAAATACTGTATTCTACCATCTTACACATACCCTTCTTTACTTGACAACTTCCTTTACATTACCTTCTAATGAAACCACTGTAGGAAAGTTAAGAAGTAAGAATAAAAACTTTTTCTGGGTGACAGTGTGCTTCAGTCGCCTTTTTGTTCATCATTACACAGTATTCTTAGAAACTATGCACAGATACTAATACATATACATATATTTCTATGTATACTTTTGCATCGGAAGCCGTGAAGATTTTAAAAGTGTAACACATTAGCACTTTCTCACTTTGTCTCCAGGTAGAACAGTGATTATATATATTAATTTGTTTGTGAGTTTTACCCTCAGAATCAGTAGGGAGCCATCATATTGTTGAATGCAAGTACATGAGCAATGAAGATACACAGTTCACTTTATAATCTCCAACATCTTAGAAATCTAAGCTTATCTTTACTGAAATGCATATATAGAAAATTAGAAAGTCACTGAACTTTGTGTGAAACTTTTATACCAGTGAGAAGAATGTATCCAGTGTTTAATGAGACATTTAAAGATGAGATATTTGTAATATTTTGATGTGTTGGTAAGCCCCATAAGCTTTACTTCTCATGGAATTACAAGGATTAGCAAGAATGAAAAAAAATAATGTTCCAATCACCACTTATTTATCAACTATCCATTAACTTACTTATGTAATACCTATTATGTAATTGATTGCTACCGCTTGCCAGACATGTTGCAATAGTACAAAGATGGATGTTTAAAGACCTATGGAAAAATTAGTAAGTAAAACTACAATAACTCATTGGTAATGCTATAATTTATCATATGATGCTCATGCTAACTGATCTGTTGTTCAAAAATGTCAAATATTTAAAAATAAAATTTAGTAAGTATTGAAAGAATCCCATACAGATTTAGAAGCATGGATAGCCTAATCTTTTATTAAAACAGAGGTTATTATGGTACATATTATTGAATTTTTCTTTTTAGTTTCTTTCTTTAAAAGGTTCTTTGATGAGTTTCAAGAAATAATATGTCTGGACACTTTAGAATGCAATCATGGCTTTGAAATGCATTTCCTTAATAATACCCTAAATAGTCATTGTTTTCTTTTCAATAGAGAAGCAAAAGGTGTTTTTAGTCTTCATTTAAACTGAATAAATTTCATAAGAAAATACTAAGCCTTAGGTACCCTAATTGCATAGTAAATTCATAGATGGGAAAGACATGCACACTGAAATTTCTGTAATTTCTTTGGACACTTTTATATATTTCCATGATGGAGATTTTAATTATTTTAAATATCAATAGTCACAGAAACTCACAGTAGGAACTTTTGAGAGTTCCATTTGACGTCTCTGTACTTGCCTCTGTAACAAGACTCTCTGGGGTTTCACTCCCTTGAATATATCTGCACTTCTTTTTATTCCACTGTTTAAACTAACTGTATTTAGATGTTATTACATCATTGAAAAATTCAGCCTTCTTAATATGAGTATACTAATAAATGTTATTGACACAATGCCCTCAAATGATCTACCAGCATCAATATTTAGATAAAATGCAGAAGCAGTGATTATCTGTATTAAAATAAAATAAAACATCAATGATAGTTTAACCCAAAATGTTAACTGTGACCAGTTTATGGGATGTGTGGAAAGTCATTTAGATTCACCATTTTAATCACTTTCTTCTCAACACATCACAAACTCAGCATGGCTTGACTCTTACAATAAACCATTACTGCCCTCATGTCTAAAACCCATGAGTAAAACTCTTTTTTGACATGTATTCAAAATGGTTTTCACACTTGAACCTGTAACAGAATCACTTGTGTTATGAAACTTGCATACTCTTATACCCTGCCCTGATACTTTCTGGTTTGGTAGTTCGAGTAAGACACAAGAAATTACATATCTGTTGAGTTCTGGTTGACATAAATAATGGATAAAAGCATGCTTCATTTCCAGTATAATTTTCAGACAAAAATTCTGAGTTGTGATATGGTAAGTAGTTGCATCACTTTACTACAGGCTCAATAAAGTATACATTGCATGCATTCTTTTCATTATGGTGAGTTCACTAATCAAATAACTCTCATGTGGGTAATATCATCAGCACATCTGAACCTTTCATCCACATTATATATAAAAACTATGAATATTAGTACATTATCTGGGTATACCATTGAAACACACTTACTTGTGTCCCCAGATTATCAAGGAACAGTGTCTTCAACTATTGAATTTTTGTGCACTCACATACACAATGAATAGTTTCTCTAACAGTCTAACCTGGTAACAGGTGGTCTTTGAAAAGATTTAGGTAAACAGGTGAAAGGATGGCACAACTGATTCAAAAGAGACCCCATCATCCCTTTGACTTTATTACATGAGATTATCACAGGTGTTTCTACGTAAATGGGTCAGTCTGCACTTGTCTCTTAAATAACTGTATTTACAGTTCTAAGGACTTGTGTGCATTAAACATCTTCTTGCCTTGCCCTTTCTTTCAAATTTATTTTTGACACTCTGACTCCATGTGCTTAAATGCCAAAGCATATATACTGCATGTTTAGCAACAGTATATTATAATGCTTTCTTCTCAAATATTGTTAGATATTGATTCATTCCTTGTTTGATTAACAATAATTTTCTAAGAATCAGAGCATCACATCACCAATAAGTAGCAATGTCCTTAATTATAAAACATCAATAATGATCATTTCATTGGACATTTCAAAACAGTGTTATTAAATTTAAAAATAATATTTGTCCATGAGAAAACACTTTCGGTGTTCTAGGTATAAAAAGAAATTACTCTCTTAAAGAAGGAACACTAAAATAATGTCTTCAATGTGGAAAGTTTTAGTCAAGAAACCTCTCTGATCTGCTTAAGGATAAGTTGCTCTTGCAGCTACTTTATGTCATAGGGTGACTCAAACTGACTCAAATTATAATGAGTTATAGAAAGTAACTAGATACATTTTGTAAAATTTAAACAACATGTAAACCTTAATTTTTAACTTTAATGCATTTCCAAATATATCGTATGGTATGATACAAAGACTCAAAATTACTGAAGTTCAGATACCATAGTTCTCCCATTTGAACAATCATGTCATAAGAATGTCTTGCACAAAAATGATCTTTGTTCTTTTCACTGAAAATTTCAAAGTCAATGAAACATTCATATTCAAATATACACAATATATTTAGAACCATAATTATGTACTCAACATTTTATTATTCTGAGAGCATTTCCTTGTTACCACATTTTTTGCTATTTTGTCTATTATCCCCTTTGCTAACATGAATCATTCATATTGGGATCATATGATACTTACATGCAACAGAAATATAAGCCATATTTTTTAACTGTGTTAGCACTTGTCCAATGTTTCCAATTGAAAGAGCTAATATCATGGAATCATAAGTGAGAATTAAGATAATTCTTTGTCATCCTAGGAAACAGCGTGGCATTACTAATGTAGCTTTTAAAAATGAAAGTAGCACTTTCGGTGTAGGATTCAAAGAGTGTGTGTCTATCTAAACAGTTCTCTGCACAAGAGCAACTCTTCAAATCCCTATTACCTTTTAATCTCTGGATCCAATCAGAAGTGTTGCTTGTATATATTACCCACTAGTTTTAAAAACAACATTCATTATTGGAAGAGAACAGATGTAACTCCTCAGGAAGGTATCTTGTAGGGATAATTGTATAAGGGACACTATCTGGCAGCCACACATCACCTGATGGGTAAAAAGGTGTTGAGAGGATTCAAGGTTAAAGTCTTACCTCCAATTCCATCCAAAAGCCCACTCCAATCACTGTAACAGTTCCAAATCTCATTCTAGATGCCCGTAAATACTCAAATTGGAAAGAAACCTGTAATTGCCCAGTGGAATATTCAAATACACTTAACTTTGCTATTTCAAGCCACAGACATCAAATGGAAACTAAGGTAATGTTCTTAATTTTCATCAACTTCTCACAGCTGAGGTTTTAAAGTGATGGATTCTGCTCAAACCATTCTTGGCACAAACCATCCATGGCAATTTAGAAAGCTGAAAATGAACCTTTGAACCAAAGTACAAGACCACAAAAGGGATATCACTGGCCTATTACAAGCAATGGGAGCCTCCTGAAGTGATCAGAAATGCTGATGACAATTTTATGTTTCAGGTCATTCAAACAGTAAGTGCCATGGACAAAGATGATCCCAAAAATGGACATTATTTCTTGTACAGTCTTCTTCCAGAAATGGTCAACAATCCAAATTTCACCATCAAGAAAAATGAAGGTAAATATGCTAGCTTGTGAAATGGTGTAGGTTAGAAACTGGGAGATGGCATGCAGTTTCTGAGTGCAGATGGAAATTACAATTAAAATATTTTTGTCATGAGTAGCTGAAAGCCATTTTATCAGCAACATAACAAGGTAGTTACATAACTTCCTATACTTAATATTGAAATTATAGATAATAAACATGTTGATGGAAATTAATGGTACCCAGGGAATACCTCGATCACCCTCTTTAATGCTTCCAAGAATACTGAGATCCTGAGATATCTGTCGCAGAATGAAATGGTTTGCACTTGGCAGTTGTTAACTTTTAATTTAATGTTTACTAAATCTTTAGGGAAAGTGTATTCTAATTTTGACTGGTTTGTGGGTTCACAATAGAAGTATTTGTTTTAATCCTGTTCCAATTTTAATAATAGCAAATAGCTCACAAAAACCTTCATGAAGGACATTTCTTATCAGTATTATTTGGGAAGTTAATACAAACAAATTTAATTTTGATGTCTCTGAGTCACAGAGAACATTTAATCTATTTCATTATTTCTTAAGAGTTTTACTTATATGGCTAGTGTTTCTTTTACTGTGCTTTACTGTAAAGCATGGTTGTCTTCAAAAGTCCATTTCAGGTATATATTGATATTTCCTCAGCAACTATATTTTAGAAAAGCAATTTTTAATTTCATTGGCCTCTAATATATTTATCATAGACATAACCATTAGAGTATTAGTATTCTCCATGAATGTTTTCTGGTTTTCTTATAGGCATTCCTTTGTTTTCCAAATGTTCCATATAGAATTTATGTTCAATTAGTGTAAGAAACTTTGGTTCATGATAATAGCATTTTGGAATATTGCTATATCAGTGTGAAGGATGCAAATGGATTTGGAGGAAATTCCATTAGAAAGTAAAATACCATTTTATGTCTTATGTAGAATGTATCTTGGCCTTGCCTTTCACTGAAATGTTACTTAGCTCTTTGGACAGGCTTTCATAAATGTAGATGTGTCACAGGAAAGGAAGAAAGAAGGTCATTGTACAGACATTACTCACCTAGGCTGCTTCCAATGTCATAAACATTTAAATGACAACATTTTTTTCTCCCTCCTTAAAGATGGAGTTTTTTGCATGTTATTCATCCTGATCAGACACTCTTATCCAAGAACATTATTTTTGTTTTCTTATGAAGACAAGAAAGATTCATCTTTTATGGAAATATTGTGTATATGCCTATGCTAAAAGCCTCCTCATAAACACCAGACTTATCTGAGAATTTAGATTAATGTGACCCCTGCTTGTTTTGACCATGAGCTAATTGTTACCTCTATTACTTTTGTGTAAACTACACTATATTCAAAAAGTTTATAAAAAGTAATGTAGGCTCATTCCTTATATCCAGAGAACCTTATTTTTCTTTCTCTTTCCATAATCTGGACTTACATAAGTGTTGGATGAATTAGAAAGTAAATTACTGGATTCCAGAGAGTCTAATTGCAAACTCTTTTTAAAAGGACAATATATCTGAAGAGAAAATGTCATCTAATAATGAACAGATTTCATCTGTTCTCTCTGAATTTTTGGAATTAGTATATAAAAGGCAAAGTAAATGCTGTGTTAAACATTTCAATGACCTTTCAAAGGAGTACTTAAAGTTGCATGGATGGTGTATTTTGTTTTCTAACTAGTAAATAAGTCCCCAAATTTTGGCCTATCTCCTAAGTCTGAAAGAAGACTGACTGTTACAAAACAACTCAGAATAAAAAAGGCATTCCGTGTAATACAACTGTTCCTTTTAAATCATATAGTCATTTGTTTTGCAAATTGTGACTGCAAAATTTGTCTTTCTAATGGTAAATATTTTTAATAAAGAGCAAGGATCTGCTGTTCATATTTATGTCTGGAAAACATCATAAACTAGGACTGTCTTGTAGAACATAAGGCAGTTGTTCACTGTGATGTTGGATTCAGGATCCAAATATTCAGCATTCCCTCATAGGATAAATATGATGCCGAATGCCTTTAGAATAGATATGTAAAGTTTATACACAATTTGCCTTTGCTCAGGTTGTGAATTCATGATCTGCTTCATAGGCTACTACTGCTTTGCTGTATGGCTAGTTACAGTGAAAAAGAAAGAAAACAAGATGTCTTAATAATATACAGAAAAAATAAGATAATCAGAGTTTGTCAATTTTAAAATGTCTGTATAGGTGGATAGATAGTAAATATACACATAGATGGAGAAATGGGAAGTTGGTACATATTTTGCAGATATTTTCAGTGTTAAAGATGGGAGAATGTAAAGTTGATGATGATATTTTTGTTTTGATCTACCGTGATCCCTAATGTTGAAAGCATAAGATAAAATCAAATGCCCTAATCATAGATTAGTCCTTTGTTTCATTCTCAGTCTGTATCTGTAAATGATTGGAAATTAATGCTTCTCAACTGAGATAATCATGATTTGTACATTTAAATCTACAAAAAGAAGACACTTAGAAATTTTGCCATGTCCAATACATTCAAATCCACTCTTGATGCATGAATTACTCTCCCCCTTAATTTGATCTTCTTGAAGGCAGTTGAAAAACTGTGCATTTTCTAAGCAACTTGCAGCCATGTCTTCCAACTCAGAATTATTGTGATCTTTCTTCTTAAATAGATTGGTCCTCATGCAATTTTCACTCCACTAATTCATAATCAAAGACAAAATAAGATAGAAATGAGCTGTCTACTTTATACTACACAGCTGAATGATTTCACAAATAATTCTCCTTCAAGTATATAGGAATAATATTTCTACCATAATAATATGGCCATTTACAATATGGAGGAAGGGAAAAATGAAAGGTCAAACATGAAGAGCCATTTATATTATGGACACTTAAAACGCAGAGTACCTTGAATCTTTTAATTTCATGGAACAGACACTGGGTTCTTCATCTTATAGTTGGCTGAATTTATAAACAGAGTGTTGTTGACCACATTTCAGTACTGTGTTCCATTCTAACTGTGGAAATGGAAAATACCCAATAATCCAGTATAAGAATACAAGGAAGATAAATGGACCTTTTACAGACACTGAAGTACCTTGCTTCCGGGAAATTTGAGGTCTGCAGAATCTGCTTTTCTTCAGGCTAAACACTGTAGGTAAACTAAATTTTTGATAGGAATTGCAACATAACTAGCTGCTGAAAGGGGAACTTTTGTGGCTTGTATTAAAATGTGGAACTGATTTAACATAGGAAAGCAGGAAAATGTGAAGTTCTTTTGTGTGTGTGTGTGTGTGTGTGTGTGTGTGTGTGTGTGTGTTTGGAGAGCCTATGAGGGAAAAATACACAGTGAACTTAAACTTAGTCAGTACTTGGTTATGCTTAAGAAAAACTCTGGAAAAAGAATCAAGTCTCAAATTAAGTTGTTTCCCATCCCACTGGAAGCTTTCTAGTTACCCTTAAATAGTGCTGATAAGACATACACTCAAGGGATTAATCTCAGTGAGGACACTTCAGAACAGTATTATGAAGCCATGGGGCCAAACACAAGCATTACAAAGAAACATGTAAATAAGAGTCTCAATCTGGACAAATAATTTTGATAATGTAAATGACACAAGTGCAGAATATAGCATTAGCTAAATATATATAAAATATTTACTTGTTCTGCTTATAATTCATGCTTTTTTCTAAATAATTCTCTCTTCACCTGTTGCCCTACTTCAAGTACATATGGTTTACACATTTTATCCTATGAAAATATCCACTGTAAGAATATGCTTTCTATAGGTAAGTTAATGTGAGTATCAGGTCTGTCATCTGTAATACAGGTTAACAGTGCCTAGCTTCCACAGTCCTGTGCTGTGATGAATGTATCTTAACTCAGACTGAGACATCTCTGAGGATGTGGAAAACCACCCATCAATAAACAGGACATGATCTTTTTCTATATGAATATAATTTCTTAATCATTCCTCTACCATACCATTCCAACTAGGCTTCTTTAAAATCTTTTCTTCATAGATTGATTTTCATATACAGAGCAGTGATTTTCCAAGTGATGTCATCCATAAAGACACTTATGCCACTGAAGGACTTCGAAGTAAATCTCCTTACAGTCCCCAAGTGGTTATTTTAGAAAGACAATTACTTACAAAAGAAGAGCCATGAGTAGGAGAAGGGAGAAGGGTCCTGAGGATTTAATGCTGTGTAGAAAAAAATTTTGTCCATATATTTTTAAACATTTTTTAACAAACTGAAGCTGAGTTTCCTCTCCACAGTGACCATTCCCTTTTCAATGAATTGAATCACTTACTATCCTAATACTAAGTTGTGGGAACTATAAAGGATATATTTTGCTTAGATTTCCAACCTTTTTTTAAACCTTTGGTTTCTGTCAGCTAATTTCATACTCTTAATTTTCCCAAATCAAAATTTGTGGCCTAAATCTAAAACAGACATTTCTGATCACAAGCGAACCAGACTGTACATCTTCCTCCCATGGAACCATCCAGAACCCTTTTCTTCTACTCACGATGAGGAAAGTATTCTCTTTCTTCTCTAATTAAGTGAGTTACATGCCTCCAGGCTGAGTTGAGCATTAGTCCTATTTGTTGATTCACAGTTAGTGGATAACTGGTGTGTTCTCTTTCTGACTAGCATAGGCCTCCTTAAGTCTTTACATCATTCAATGATGCTTTAAACTGAGAAAAAGTCTATTATAAATTATGTTTCTTTCCTCAGTGTTCATTACTAGACTTACCATTCTTCAGCAATAGCACATCCATTGTTCCTGCTTTTTTTAGGCAAAATATCTGCATTGTGACTGTGTAAATATGATAATGAATATCCTTTCTTATATTCTACTATGGGGACACTGCACTCATTTTTTTTCTGAGAGAGGGATTCTTTGCGTAGCTTTGGAGCTATTCCTGGAACTCATTCTGTAGACCAGGCTGGCCTACAAATCAGAGATCTGCCTTCCTCATCCTCCTGAGTGTTAGGACT